TCTGACTATATGTAAAAAAAAAAAAGAAAAAGAAAACAAAAAACATATACACCGCAAGAAATGTATAGAGACAAGACATGATCGATAACATCTACATTTGACAGTCACCAGTAAAATGTTTTACTGAGGAAATTTGTTGCAGCATTAAACCAGCTTCCACGGTTCTCTTCCTTTGATGCTGGCCGAGTTAAAGCTTTCTCTACATCTTTCTGAGGACTTTCTTCTTCCGGTAAATAGTCTGGTAAGCATGAATTTGTTTCAACTGGAATACTTACACTGGGCATTGGGAGATACACCTATATAGAGAAACCATCACATCACCTGTTACCTAAAATGTAATTGCTCCACTACAAAAATTCAAAAGTTATAGGCACAAACAAATCAAGCATTTCCAGAAGTCATTGATTTGTTAAGTCTCAGGGTTTCTGCCCACACACAGGAACAGAAGTGCAAAAAAAGTCCAGTGAGATTTGTCCACAATTCTGCATCCATGTAACACGAGACATCTGCACTTCAATGCACAGAAAGCCTCAACAGTTAGATCTTCACTCCAGAACACACAACTCACACCCCAATATCCATGCTGTTAGATTTGCACTCTGGCACACAAAGCTTGCTATCCTATGTCTATGCCATCCATGGAACTTGCACTCCTGAACACAAAACTCCCCGATGTCCTTTTCACGAGTGATATCTGCATTTCAGCAAACACGCCTCTCCCTCCTCAGAATATATACCAGTAGTGTGATCTTCACCAGGCTGTGCAGTCAATTAACTAAAGTATTATTAAACCCAAAAGCAAAAACGTATTATTTTGCAACTTACCATTTCTAATTGTGATGGCTGTGTTCATTTTCTTTCTATTTTTATCTGGTGATCCAGCCCTCAAGTCTCCAGCAGAATGTATCCGTTACAGAGAGGAGACAAACCATTTACAGTTGTGGCCAAAATTATTCAACCCCCACTGAAATTGAGTGTTTTGGCCAGTTTGACATTGCTTTTGATCATTCAGTCATCTTGCTTACATTTACATTAAAGAGGCACTTGTAGGTCAGACAAATATAACATAACAGTTATAATGAAATAACCACAAATGTCTTTTCTGTGCTCACAGCATTATCAGTTTTATTCAACCCCCAAGTGACATTCAATCTTAGTACTTAGTACAGCATCCTTTTACAGTTATAACAGCTTTTAAATGTGAAGCATAGCTTGACACAAGTGTCTTGCAGCGATCTACGGGTATCTTCGCCCATTCTTCATGGGCAAAGGCCTCCAGTTCAGTCACATTCTTAGGCTTGCGCACTGCAACTGCTTTCTTTAAGTCCCACCAGAGGTTCTCAATCGGATTTAAGTCTGGTGACTGCGATGGCCACTCCAAAATGTTCCAGCCTTTCCTCTGCAACCATGCTCTAGTGGACTTGGAGGTATGCTTGGGATCATTGTCCTGTTGAAAGGTCCAACGTCTCCCAAGCCTCAGGTGTGTGACGGACTGCATCACGTTTCCATCCAATATCTCCTGGTACTGAAGAGAATTCATGGTACCTTGCACACGCTGAAGCTTCCCTGTACCTGCAGAAGCAAAACAGCCCCAAAGCATGATTGACCCTCCACCATGCTTCACAGTAGGCAAGGTGTTCTTTTCATCATAGGCCTTGTTCTTCCTCCTCCAAACATAGCGTTGATCCATGGGCCCAAACAGTTCTAATTTTGTTTCATCAGTCCACAGAACACTATCCCACAACTTTTGTGGTTTGTCCACATGGCTTTTGGCATACTGCAGTCGACTCTTCTTATTCTTTGGAGACAGCAAGGGGGTACGCCTGGGAGTTCTGGCACGGAGGCCTTCATTACGCAGTGTGCGTCTTATTGTCTGGGCTGAAACTTCTGTACCCACATCTGACAAATCTTTTCTCAGTTCCTCAGCAGTCACACGGGGACTTCTCTCCACTCTACGCTTCAGGTAGCGCACAGCAGTCGAAGTCAGCATCTTCTTTCTGCCACGACCAGGTAGCGTTTCAACAGTGCCCTTTGCCTTGAATTTGCGAATGATGCTTCCTAAGGTGTCTCTTGGTATGTTTAACATCTTTGCAATCTTCTTATAGCCATTGCCCTTCCTGTGAAGAGAAATCACCTCTTCTCTTGTCTTCCTGGACCATTCTCTTGCCTTCACCATGTTTGTAACCACACCAGTAAATGTCTAGAAGGAGCTGAGTATCACAGTCATTTTAAAGCTGCCTAATTGGTGCTTATTATGCTTGATTGCTGCTCGGTGACATCCACAGGTGTTTTCAATACCTGATGGAAAGCACCTGTATGAACCTCTGTTCTTCAGAGTGGTAGTCTTTAAGGGGTTGAATAATTGTGGGCAATGAAGAAAAACCACATAAGAACCATTTACTACTGTATTACATAAAAACAATTGATGTCATTTTAGTTGCATTTGGGTAGTTACAACGTCCTTGTAGGATTTGATTCTGAATACAATTCCAAATGTACACTATAGTCCCTAAACCCCTTTACAGCATTGGGGGTTGAATAATTTTGGCCACAACTGTACCACTGACAGGGGTACTTACAATGATCAGCTTTTATTTACTTAAACCTTTACTCCGTCCCGCCCCCACCCCTTTCTCCAAAAAAACAAAAACTTTGCTGTAACTGCTTATAAAGTATTAGTTGGAATTTGGCTTACATTTGTTAGTGTATTTAAATCTGCGAGTCCATCTAACACCTCCCACTCCCAGACTGACAATGCTGCAAAAGGTGCCACCTGTGTGGATCCATCCAGGCACTTTAATATAGGAGGGATGGGGTGTTACTGGCCAGATCACCAAGTGAAAACAGATGGGAAAAAAAAGCCTAAAAAAAGAAATCGAATGCAGCCACCACATCTAATGACTGGCAAGCTGCAATATATACAATTTTTGGTTTGGGTCTAATACCACTTTAACGCCTTCCCACCCAGCCTATAGAAAATGGGGGCTGGGCAGGACATTTGCTGTTCTGGATAGATATCATGTGATATCCTCCCCAGACCGCTCCTCAGGCTGTGCTGCAGTGCAGTGTCACCCACTGTGTCGACCAGACTTATCAGATGACAGATCAGTGTGCCGGCCCACTGCAGATACTATGTGATCACTGTGACCAATCAATTACATGACAATTGTACACAATGGATGTCGTTCATTCATGCCAACTATTGTGTACTTGTGTTGATCTCTGGTCACATGGTACAGACAGGGCCAATCGCAGCCCATCTGTAACATATGATTAGCTGAGGCCAAATCAGCTATTCACAATAGTAAATACTGAATGAATCAATTTCATTCAGAAAAAATGGTTGTTTAGAACAGTGAAATTTCACTATTATAAGCAATCATAGTGTGTAAAAAAGAAAAAAAAATCCTGATCACCTCCCCAGAGTAGTACAGTGTTACTATGGTAACACTATTGCTTTGGTCACAGTATGAAAAAAATAAAATTAAAAAAAAAAAAAAAAAGTTATTTTATCCTGGCATTTTTGGTCCTCAAGAAATTATATAAGCAGTCAGTACATCAGGATTGATAAATTTTTAATTTATATATATATATATATACACACACACATACACTACATAAACACACACATACCTCATACTTTGATAGTTTGTGGACTAGCTTTCCTGCAGACTAAAATACACTTTATTCTAATTTTTTTACCAAAGAAATGTAGCAGTATGCATTTTGGCCTAAATTTATGCAGAATTATTTATTTATGTGCAAAACTTTAAACCGGAAATTAAGAAAAAAAATGTTTTATGTTTATTTAGCAAAAAATAAAAAACCCAGTGGTAATTAAATACCACCAAAAGAAAGCTCCATTTGTGTAAAAAAAAAAAAAAAATACATATATAAAATGTTCATATGGGTACAGTGTTGCACGAGCACACAGTTGTCAAAGTGTGACTGTGCTGAAAACTAAAAATTGGCCTGGGCAGAAAGGGGATGAACGTGTCTGGTATTGAAATGATTAAAGTATATCTATAGCAAAATCTATTTTGTGTAGTTTTTGATAAAGTGGTTAGGGGTTATAACCACCATTAGGTTTTTAACGCTTTCGTATCCCTGCTACCCACTGTATTAGTACTGGTCACCACTTTAATTGGGTCTGAAAGGAAGGAGGGGTAGGTTTCCATTCAATTCCTGTTGTTTCTACAGTACAATACTAAGAAAAATGGACTTTAAATAATTTCCTACTCTGTCTAAAATGTAAAGAGTCAGCTTTTATATATTATTAAATATAATATACACACATATTTAGGACATACATTAAGCTTTAATGTGTTAAGCAGTCGCTCACATCCATGCTCACAAGCCATTGGCTCCTGCTGCTGTCAGTCAAACCCAGTGAGTAAAGTCAGGGGCAGAGCCAAGCTGCGCTGTGTGTATGTCAATGGATGCACACACCCCAGATCAAGCGCGCACATTTAACCACATAGCAAGTGCTTGTATGGGGGCTGACACAGAAGAAGGGGAGCCAAGATCGCCGGTGGGTGACCCCAGAAGAGGAGGTTTTGGGATTTAAAAAAGAAAAAAAAATGCCTTTACGGTTATCACCAAAAGTGAAAGCAGATTTAAACAGAACAAATACAGAGGGTGAAGCTCCATAAATGTGGACACAGACAGGAATAAAATTAACGGACAAGTGTTTCAATCCCTTTCCACCCTATCCAAAAAAAAAAAAAGTTTTGCATTTAGTTATACTATAATCAAATGTTTTTTAAAAACTTTTACATATGTAAGCAAAGTCCAAGACATGTCCTGTAACTTTGCTAAAACGTAGACTGTGCTCAGCTGAAACATTGGTAGCAGTCAGTCAATCTGTTTATGTTGTTTGCACTTGAAAAGTCCTAAAATTACACTTACACACACACTCTGAGATTTCACATATATAAAGTGATATTCATTATCATTACAAACCATACCTCATTGCCGGATTCATTCTTTATCACTTGCTCTGCCTTCAGCACTTTGGTTTCTGCAATGGCTGAGGTTAAACACTGTAAAAAAACAAAATTAAAACCGTTGCCTTTCATAATTTTTTTTTTTTACAACAGTCAAGCTATGTTTTATTTAAAAAAAACAGAACAAGGGTTCATGGACAGCATATAGTGGCAGTAAACCGCAAAACCCCCCCCAAAAAAACCCCAAAAAAACACCAAACATCTTCTCCCCGCAAGTTAAGAGAATGTGCTAGTATACATCGAATACTAGCACATTATGAAAGACTTACCTGAAAAAGCCCTCCAGCGGAGCACGGCCTTGGCTCCCCGGGGCTTCCATCTTCACCCAGCCTTCCTCCCGGGTTCATGGCCATTTCACTGGCCGTGCCGCGATTATGGCACACACATGCGTGAGAGCCTCGGCTGCAGCATGGCTCTGCGTATGCTTCAAGTAGAAGAAACACCGATTCAGGTGGGGCGACAGGATCCTATCCAACACCCACAGAGCTGCACGCCCAGCTTGCCTCCGAAGACAACAGGAAATCAGAAAAAATTTGGCTGCACACTCCGTTAAAACGTGTGGATTTATTGAAGCATAGAATAAAAATCAATATTACAATATATGAGCACACCGGCGATCTGATAACTTGGAAAATAGTTGACGCATTTCACACTCCATAGCACTTATTTATCACCGGCACTGCTAAAGTATATATCACCTAAACTGTACATGGTTTAGGAGATATTTACTGTACCTATAGGTAAGCCTTACCTATAGATGCAAGAGGGAAAAAAAAAAAAAAAAAAAAAAAAAAAGGACTACCACTTTACAAAAAAAAGAAAAAAAAAATCTAAATTTACTGACTTCACTGAGCTGGTCTTCACAGTTCACATCAATGAGCTAGTCTTCACTGTTTGACCTTACAATCAGGATCCACCCAGATGTCTGGATCGGCAGCTGGCTCAGCCTTTCAGCAAACTGCTGTGAGCCTGAGCCAGCTGCTCCCACGCCCTCCACAGCCCAGCACTACAGTGAGTGCTGATGGGGCAGAGCAGAGAGCAAGAGACTAACAGTCACCGGTTCTCTGCTCACTGAAGACTGAGTGAGTTTGAACAACTTTACAGATTGCGATAGATGTTAAACTAACCAGGATAGTCCCCTTGGCTGCTCTTTATGTTTCTCTAACGTCTTTGTTTTTCACTTCTTTATTTCCATCTCTCCCGTGATTTATTATTTTATGCTGTGTTCTATATCAATAATTGTCTCTGCCATTTACCAACTTACTTATGTATTTTAAGTGTATTTTATTGACAGGCAATGCTATGTTTTTTTCCCCCAGTAGGTGGAGTGTCTGGATCTGCCATGATGCCAAAGTCAACCCAGTGCATGTGGGCTGTCTGCCACCATGGCGGCCTTCTTTGCAGTACCGCTGCCTATGCTCTATCCCAGGTTGAGGCTTGGCCCCTTTGTGCGGTCTGGGCCTCGCTCTGGCACTGGGCTGGCGGCAGCGCACCGTCATCCCCCCTCTAGGGGCAGGTTCACACCGGGCGTGCCACATCTGCCGGGGGTTATGCCAGAGAGCCGGGTTTAGTCCCTCATGTAGTCCCAAACTGTGTGGGCTCCTGATTGGCTGCACTCCAATCCTCCCTGGGCCAGATTGGCCATCTTTTGATCCCTACTTAGACTATATAAGGCTGGCTTACCTTACCATCATTGCTGTGCTGCACATGGACGCACCATCCTGCCTTCCCATATACCCTTGTGTGTGTATATACACGTTTTACAAGAAACTACTGCTTTTTAATGTAAGTTCCTTTTAACATCATTAGATATAATTAAGCCCCAGGTGACCGACTCATATAGATTTACACAGATACTATTAAATTCCACAGCATAGATGGGGTTCCTATTCTTGGCTCCTTATGGTGACCCCAGTGGCATTGGCGGACAGCAGTGTACCCAGACATCAGTTCTCAGCACTTCTGCATTACCTTTATTTTTCTAATCTCGAAAACGCATTGAATGTATAACTAGCAAACTGATCATGTACAGTATTGTGCAAGTAATCTCTTGTAACCACACTTGCTGAATATAACTGCCATTTTAATGAGTTATGTACCAATAAATTATTGTGTTTTTTTGGAAAAATGTTGGTCTTTGATATCTTGGCTCATTGATCAGTGCTGCCCTTTAAAGTCCCACCACTAGGGGGAAATAATTTTTTTCTCATATATATTGATGAAGATTGAGAACTGAGAGATCAGCAATGTTTGATCACTCAGTTCTCAGTTTTAGAAGCAGTGGGGTAAGTATAAAGGTTTGTGAAATCCTGCAGCTGGTGATATTCTGGCAACAAAGACTCACACCTGTGATCCTGAAGGCCAAGCATTTGATACAACCTTTAAAAGGCTCATCTTTATATAAAAAAAAAAAATAAAAATATATATATATAATAATAATAATAAATGCACATATTTGCAAGAAAGAAAATTTGCAACTAATTTCTGTTGTTGCAGGAACCTGAAAAGCATTGCACCATGCAAACAATGGATCGCAGATGCAATGTCAGGCTCCTGCAAACACTTTCTGGCTCACACCTATGCGTTTTTTTTATGCTTTTTGCAGAAACTAACTAGTCCATTTAACATTGTTTCCTATGGAACACATTCACATCCGCTTTCTGCTGTGTTTTTGGAAAGGGTCAGTAGCTTTTTTCCCACAGCAGATTGCAACACGCATAGGTTTGAACCAAGCCTTAAGTTAGAAAGCTGGAGGAAGTGTCAATAAACTAATAGTGCGCTGATTAACAGGGGTGGGGATTGCTTAGAAACAAGTTACATGCTACACCCTAAATTTGGGTGTAAAATGTTCCTAAAAGGTGAACTTAGCCTTTGAGGGCCAGGTCACACTACATTTGTTTCAGTGTGCTTTTATTCTGCATCCACACGCATCCAAACGCAAAGAAAGTAGGTTTAATGGTTGTCAATGTCATAGTTCACATCAGTGCTTGCAGTTCCAGTGCGTTCTGGATGCAGAAAAAAAAAAAAATTAGAACATGCTGCATTTTTCCTGCACAGAACTGTACTGTAAAACGCACATGTTCCTTTTTAAACTGAGGAAAAAGAGGGGAAAAACTGGAACGCATCAAAAGTGCACGAGAACGTGCCAAAAATGTGTCAAAAACACACATGCAGAAACGCATCTGGAATGCATCTGGATGCATGGACTGCATTTTTTATAGTGTGAACCGACTCTAAAACTGACAAATAAGCACACCTCACTTAAGATTCTTAGGAAATCTTAACATTTCTGAACAAATAACCTTCCTTTCAGAAATCTTTTAAAACATACAAATTGACTACAGGTATGGGGAACAGAAGCCAGAGAATGGAATGGAATCTCTGCTACAGCCATGTTATCCTGATCTGATTGCTCAGAAGGAGAGGGATCATCCTCAACTACCACATCCTCCTTACGTAATGTGTATCTTAAAGGCGAAATCGAAGACTGATTCAGGAGGGGAGGTTGAAGGGGACACAGCTGTGCCCCCTTCTATCTATGGCCAGAAATTCTGCCCATGAAATCTGAGATTGTGGCAGAAAATTCCTTTATGGCTAGGAAAGAGGAAGCTGGTGTGGCAGACAGGAAAGAAGAAAGTCAAGAGCCAACTGATCGTAAAACTGCAGTAGGAATCTTCATAGTAGAATCAGTTTGGTGGAACATAGATAGAAAGTCTGAGAGAAACCTCCATAAAAAGAAAGTAAGCTTCTATCAGTAGAAAAAAATAAGAGGTCCATCACCTAAGTTTTTTGCTAGTGTCCTTAGGTCCTAAGGACACTAGCAAAAAACTGAGGCTAGCTGTGAGTGGGAGTAGTTAAATAGGGGGGTGTCCCTGCAGCCTTCTTTTTTTGCCAGTGTCCAATCACCTGAAGGCAGCAGCATAAAACCCAGATGTAATGATTAAAAAGCCTCATTGTCTATCGATGAGAAATAATTGTTTTCTATGTGTCCCAGTGTTGATGTGTGCAAATCAAGGCATATATATACAGATAGTGTGAATAAGCCCTTTAGATCTGGGTTGCTAAGACCTGGTATAACGAAGGTAGACGTCTGTTAAATTAAATGTATCCACTATTGTAATGTGTAGTCACATGTCTAAATGTGAAAGCTGAGTGGTGCAAGACTGCACAACTAGCATTACCACAGCAAGTTGAATTTTGATGTAATTTGTGCAATTAGCCTGAATGTCCATATCTTCCAGTGACTTTCTGTTGGTATGATATCCGTGTCTACACACCTGTTGAAGCAATTATGAGGGATTTCCACTTTCCCTCTTGGACTTATTTCTCTGGACTGGTGCTTACAGCTCTTACCTCCGTTGCCAGTTCAGGTTTTACCCGAACAGTACACCTCCTCAGGGCTATCTGAAAAGTGAAGCTGATGACGCCTTTCACTTTTAATAACGCTTCTTCGCACATTGATTTCCTGTCCTGTGATTTAAATCAAAAGAAACACTTCACTCTAAATCTTGCAATGCTACAAAGAATTCTATTTTTGACCCTAAGCCACAACATTCAGAGCATTCCAAAAAGTGTGAAAACATTCTTACAGGGCAAGGGGTCCAGTGAGCCTGTTTGCAATTCAGGAAACCAATAGGCATAGTTACAGGTACATATGTAAAAATTAAACCCTAGCACATGTCTGCTTAGAGGAACTCCTTCCATCAATCTATGGGAACACGTACGTAGTGGGGCACATACTATTTTCCTTCTAGTCCATTGGAGCAGGTATTCAGCAATCTGCAGGAGTATAGGTCATTGGCAAACAGAAAAACTGTAAGTCAGCCGCCATAACCCTTCCTCTAACCAATATGCTACTGTCCCGGGAGGTGGGGGGTCTACTGGAGGATTGGATGTGGACTCCTCTTCAGCATTGCTGGAAAGCATACAACACTTGGAACTCTGGTCTCCAGTTTGCTCCCACTGCCTGCCGGTCACCTCTGGCTACCTGATCTTCATCAGAACCAGTTGTCTATGTGCGCAAGTGCCTAATGTCTTGCCTCAGACCTTGGGACAAGTTGCAATACTGCTACATGGAAGCAACAGGCTTGCACATAAAACACAGAGTGGACAGCCCCGCTGCTAGTAATCCCAGCCCCTACTGCCCTAGATTAGTATCTGCTGAGGGGACTTTTTGGCCACATGTTCTCTATTCCTTCTAGGCATAAATGGCTTTAAATATGCTCCACCACCATCCCCTGCAAAGTCCATCTCTGATCTGCCTGAGCCTTTCAGGTCAGGCCACTGGTCCCTTTGACCATTTCTCAGATTTTGAATCCCAATAGACTCCAAAGTGAGACTGCTGGGATTTTTTACAGCACTGCTTTACCAGAATTGCAAGAGGTTTTCTGACCATATTTCTGCACTGTCTACTACCTCTTTTAGAGCTTTTACAGCTGCAAAAATCTCTTTTACATGCTATTCGTTATATTCCTCTATGTGTACTAAAAGCACCCTGAAGGATCCAGGCCCACCTATGTACGGTAGTCCATTCCCCCCACTGTGGGGCCCAACAGTAACCCACCTTAACAGGGACATCACTGGGCAGGTAGCAGTACTTCCCTTTAAGGATTGTACTGACAAGCAGCTAGAATTCCCTCATAAAATCCCAGTTTGAACTGGCTGGCTCTGCTCATCATCGTGTGCTGGCAATGACCTTAATCTGCTAAACCATGTGAAACTGGATTAGTTCCCTCAAAAGGAATCTTTCCAGTGCTGGGGTAGACCATGGTTTTATGGAGTGTGTAAAACCCAATATTTAGGGTGTGACAAACCCTGCCATTCTTACCAACTCGTGAAAAAGGACCAGCCAATCTCACACTGCGCTGTCACCTACGTAACAATGCCACTGTCAGCTGCACCTTGCACAAAGATTTTCCAGCTCACAGGACCAAAATCTATGTGCCAGCAGCCGGAGATCGATTGTCACTGGGCTAGTTAACTAAGAAATTAACTATTTAAACTGCCACCAGATAGCTTTGGGACTATCAGCCCTTCACAATATTAGCAAGAAACAAATGTGAACAATAAACGTCTGTAACACACACTGTCACCAGACAGGTATATTCAGAGGATTACTATACACAGTAGCACTCTTCAATGGACAGGGATTCTTTAGTTTGCATTAAAAGCCTTAGAGATCATTTTAACACTTTTCAAAATATGGTTTATTATTGAAAAGGTCGAATGGTGCAATTCAAATATTTACAAGTCCCAACTAGAGTTTCATACTAATATTAACATCTTCCAGTATGTGCAGGTGGTATTCTAGCAACTGGCAGATTAATAATCAGAATTATATTTCGAACCCAGGGATACCAAACACAGTGTACCTTGTAACCCAGGTGATAAGAGACTGCTTTCTCCCTTTTTGTATATGCTAACATAGTAATGTAAGACCTTGATTTGTTTGGTATGATATTCCCCAAATATATACCTAACATTAATCTGGTTCTTTTGAAGTTCGTTAAAACTTACAGCTACAAATTCCACAGTTTTCAGGAGGAGGGAGGGGAGGAAGATCATTGCTCATGAAAAACAAAAATGGCTGTTGCGTACAGGTTCCATGTCCCTATTGCGCACAATTGTTACATATGGGTCTTATGCTTCAGTTGTGATAGCTTGTTACAAGAAGCCAAACTCATAACCCACATAGGTCTGATCTCCATACAGATGTGAAACACTTTGCGTGCGCTGCTGACACTGATGCTATATCCAGAGAACATCCAACTTGCTTGGCCTTCAAAGAATGTTGTCCCACTGGCCCTAGACTTAGATGTAAAAGATCTAGGCTGAACCACATCCTTTCTTTATCTACTTCTGCTCTGAGGCCCCCTTCAGACCTGTTCCTTTAGGGATTATCACTAGTATTTTCTGTTGACCACATCAGGTTGTCGGTCTAATCTTCCCTACTTAGTAAGTAACCTACCCCACGAACGGAGCATCAGGTTGATTGTTTTCTGTCCTCACTTTGGTCGTGTTAGTAGGCTCCTCCATATAATTGGGGGCTCCACCGCATCCAGGTCAGATTCAGGCTTTGGTCCCTCAGGCAGTTTCTGGGTTGCAATTTCCATTCCTTTTCATAGGATCTGTTAGAAGTGGTTGCTGTGTTGCCCACCCCTCGGTTGAACTGATTTTGGATGCTCTGACTGTATCTAAATTCCTGATTCCCTTAGTGGATTAGAAAGAAAACAGCATTTTTGTACTGTACTTGTTGTATATTCCTTTTCTGGGAGACCTTAGAGGGACACAGGTGCCTCCCCTAAGAGTTTCTGTTCATGCTCTTGGTACTTCTTTATTACAAAACTGAAGCCTGCTGGCTAGTAGAGGGGTTATATCAGGGGATGGCTTACAGTATATCTATCTAATCCTCCTATAGGCAGAATTTATAGCAAGCACAAAAACCTATTTATTCCTTTACCTCAATGCAATGCTGATGGTTGGAATAGGACCAAAACGATTGATGGGCCAGAAGTAAAAAAAGTGCCAGAAAATGTAGTAGTTTAGTTTTCTCTTAGGCTTCCCACCCCAGCCCTTTATTTTCACCTGCTGATCCGTCCAGTAAACACATCTTGTCTTGGGGTGTCTCCATTCTAGACAGAGAAGCAACAGAAAAGCCTCTGGACAGCAACACTGTCAATCTGGGAAGATGGTAGTGTTAGATGCAATAGCAGATTTAGATGGACATGAGTAACAATTCAAAGCCAAACTCCAGCTAACACTTGTTATAGCAAAGAGTTGTTTTTCCCTTTTGGGATTAAGTTTTACTTAAATGGACAAATCCTAAACATTGTAAGCACCCCTGTCAGTGGTAAAATTGTTTAACTTAAGCCTCTAACTGCCACATTTGCTAGACAGCTTGGTTTTAAAGTTTTTAAAGAAGCTGAAAAATAACAGACCTTTTTTTTTACTGCCTCCCAACCACTTCCGCTTAGGCTTGCTTCAGATGCAATTTTTGATGCAGCTGGAGTTCAATAAAATTTTAGGACAAGGAAAATGTTTTTTTTTTTTTAGTGGTGCCCATTCTAATCAATGCAAGGCAAATTATGTAAAAGGTTCCAGTACCACTTTGGTATGATTTACAGCGCGAGCTGGCCCAAAAGAATATGCAAAGTCGCACCACATAATGACACTGTAAATTGCATCAGTCACATCACAGTATTTTTAGCCGAGCCTTAGGCTGCAAAGGCAGCGGCAAGGGGTGTACATACGCTACAGCTGCCTTGCTTTGCTTTAGGACAGGAATTAAACCTCTGATCACATTTGGCAGGTACCACTGCTCCCACCAAACATGTCCCATTCAAGTAAATCACTTTTTAGAGGCGCGACAATCCTTGCCACATGTGTAAATACGCCCTTACTGACCAGATCAACAGGTGCAAATAATGTAAAAAAGCCTAAAAAGAAAACTAATGCAGCCATTTTTGAGATTTGGTAAGCTGCAATATAATAAGATCAGATAAAATGTTAGTCTTTTTAGAGATGCCAATTCACTTCCTGTCCTAGGACATTATCATTGCAACAGGACGTGAGAAAAAAAAAAATCAGTCAATAAAAAGGAGGATCTAACACTTTTCCACTCTACTCAAAACTGAAGATGTTTTGGTTGGAGATATATTTGAATAGTCTGTGTTTTTTATAAATGGGATCCTTTTAAGGACAGAGTACTTACCAGATCATCAAGCCCATGGATATGGAGAGTTATAGTTTTTGCTCTTTTGTTGGAACTTGTAATGAAGAATTGGGGATTACTTTTGCAGCTTTTTTGTTCTGGAGTATACATTTGAACAGATGCACTTAGTAACATGTATACTGTCTGCGCAAGTAGTTTGATACGATTATCAATATCACATCTGAAAGGAAAAAAAAAATGACTAAAGCATCAATTCTGTATTGTATTCCATTATATATAAACAGGAAATGTTAGCTGCCAAAAAGATGTGTAAAGTTTCTAATAACTAGAACATTTACACAGAGAAATGTGCCAAACAGAAATTGAACAGTTTAAAGTGGTTCTAAGGCTTAAATTGATATTAAAGTTGTTTTTTTAAAAATAACAAACTTGTAATAACTTACCTGCTCTGTGCAGTGGTTTAGCACAGAGCAGCCCAGATCCCCCTCTTCACGGGTCCCCAGCCAACATTCCTGGCCCCTCCCTTGCTACGGAGGCACCCAAGCAGGCACGCTCCCGGGCCTCAGCTCTGTGCATCCATTCACCCGCCCCGTCTCCTGATTGGCTCACAGGCTGTGATTGACAGCAGCAGTAGCTGATGGCTCCCGCTGCTGCCTCGGTCAACCAGGAGAGCCGAGGTTCTCGTGGACATCTCTGGATCGAGAGGGGGCTCAGGTAAGTACTAGGGGGGCTGAAGGTTTTTTTACCTTCATGCACAGAATGCATAAAAAAGATTAAAAAAAAAATAAATAAATAAAAAAAATACTTGAGCCTTTACAATCACTTTAAGATTTTGCACCTTAATGCATTCTACGCATTAGGGTGAAAAACCTTCTATGCTGCAGTTCCCCCCCCCCCCAGCTCCCCCCTTTTTCTTACCGGAGCCCAATCTGATCCAGCGATGTGCACGAGAGCAATGGCTCTAGCCACTGTCTCCCTCCTCATTGGGCAGATTTATAGCAGTGGGAGCAATTGGCTCCCGCTGCTGTCAATCAAATGCTGTGACGAGGGTGCAGTCAGGCGGACCGAGCTGTCTGCTCTGTGTCAATGAATGCAGACAGGGTGGCTCGGGAGCGAGCCCGAACAGGTGCCCCAATGAAAAGCAGCTTTCTGTAGGGGCACCTGCCGAAGAGGAGGGGCCAGGAGTGCTGGTATTTTGGACTACAAAGTAAAATCAGGACACTGATGAGTTCATCCCTTGCTCTTCCCTACTACTAGCATATTTACAGGCAGCAATGTGTAGAGTAATTGAGACTAACTTCCCCCTCCTAAGACTAGAATGCTGATGTGTAGAAGATTTTAGGAGACTGGTGTCAAGACAAGCCCAAGTATTCAAACTGTATAAAAATTGCAACAAATATATTGCTAAATCAAATAGTGTTTTTATGCTTACCTGGAGTCCACCTTTAAATTTAAACCAAAGCACAGAACTCTTAACATGCCTGGAAATTTCTAGTTAGTTAACCACTATAAAAAAGGATAAGTGCACCTTTTGTAACATGTTACACCCATATTCAGGGTGTAACTTGTTACGAAAGGACTGCCCCTTGCTCCCCTGATGTGACAGCTAGTGGGGGATCTTCTACCCCTGCTAGCTGTCACAATTTAAAAACAGCGTGGCCATGTGGGGCTCCACCCATCCGGCTGCGTCACTCATTCACAGTATTCTGTGAAAGGGAAAACTACAAGTTCCAAAAGCCTTTGTGGCTGTCAGCTTGTAGTTCTCAATGAATTACCATGGCACTGTTGAGCGCTGTGGTAGATCATTGATTTTTCCTGTCAGAGTATATCTGCACGATATGATGCAAGGTACGAGCAAGACAGATACACTGTCATAAAATAAACCAATAGAAAAAGCGCCACACTGTATAACAAAAATAAACTGTGTGTTAGCAGCAACACCCAACCAAAAAAAATATAAAAAATTTTGGCAAAGTCAATATCTAATAAGGGCATGCGCTAAATAAAAAATATATATCACCATATAATTAAGTGTCCATAATAAATCTGTGCAAGTCCAAAACAAACTCAGAATATCCTCTGTGAATTCATAACACTGTGAATAATCCACCACCAAATGAATTAGATGGACTCACCAGAGCTATATGCTGATCAAATTATAGACCAGCAATAGCGCTTGTGCTCTGGGAGCGATGGGTGAACGATATCCAGGTATTAGATGTGGTAATTTTCAATAATAATCACGTCCAGGTGATCAATAATGGTAATCGGCATAAAAGACAGCATATCACTACCAGAAGCAATACTCTGCAGCCAAAGATCTCATGATGAATCTCTCCATTTAACTCCGTATCTCCATATATGCATGAGTCACACACAGGGACAAAGGAAAAGACATAAAGGTGCAGTACGTTTAATACACATATATATTTAATAAAATATCAAACAACTCACAACAGAGGTGTCCAGACAGACACCAGCTTAACCAACAATGCACAGCACTGAAGTAGTGGACGATCCCCGCTCACTGCGGCTCACCCCGACACACACTGGGAAAAGAGCGGCGTGGCCTACTCGATGTTGACGTTAGGACGCTCTTTTCCCAGTGTGTGTCGGAGGTGAGCCGCGGTGAGCGGGGATCGTCCACTACTTCAGTGCTGTGCATTGTTGGTTAAGCTGGTGTCTGTCTGGACACCTCTGTTGTGAGTTGTTTGATATTTTATTAAATATATATGTGTTTTAAACGTACTGCACCTTTATGTCTTTTCCTTTGTCCCTGAGTGTGACTCATGCATATATGGAGATACGGAGTTAAATGGAGAGATTCATCATGAGATCTTTGGCTGCAGAGTATTGCTTCTGGTAGTGATATGCTGTCTTTTATGCCGATTACCATTACTGATCACCTGAACGTGATTATTATTGAAAATTACCACATCTAATACCTGGATATCGTTCACCCATCGCTCCCAGAGGACAAACGCTATTGCTGGTCTATAATTTGATCAGCATATAGCTCTGGTGAGTCCATCTAATTCATTTGGTGGTGGATTATTCACAGTGTTATGAATTCATAGAAGATACATTGTCATGTCAGCAGGAGTCCTGCATGGCACCAGTGATCTGCTGCTCACTGGTGCAACTCTTTCCAGGCTCCCAAAACAAAATACAGTAAATGCAATGAGCATTCATTTTTTTTTTTTTTTTCTTAAAAGGTGAACTTATCCTTTAATGCAACCAGATCTGGAAGAAAATCCAAGAGCTTGCATTAAAAAAAAATTAAAGTTAACCTGACCTACCCTAAGCAAGGCAGAGGATGGGAGGTCAGTAGGGTAGTCCTCTGCCTTCCTGATGCCCAATACTCTACTTCACTGGACTCCTGCTGACCTACCATCCTCTGCTCTAGTGACCCCCACCCCCAATTACACCCCCCCTGTCCTCTGCCTTGCTGACCCATATACACTGCCCCATTGACTCTCTGTACAGTGCCCTGCTGACAGCAGATCCCTGTACACCGCCCTGCTGACCCCTATATTGTGTCCTATAAACTGCTGACATCTGTACTTTGCCATACAAAACTACTGACCACAGAATGGGACATACAGACATGCTGTGCATAGACACAGTGTCCTGTAATTCCAAGCAGGAAGGAGGTGCTGCTGTGTGTGATGTTCACCTGACACACACAGATGGCCCCCTGCTATGAGGAACAGTGAGCAATGGAGACTGTGTGGTCACATGAACACCACTGAAAACTTTTACATAATAAATTCAGTGCTTTAGGCAAAATGGTGTTACATTTTAAAAATTTCACTTTATGGGTATGAAAAATGTGCAAACTCACTGGCAACCCTCTTTCCTTTGTTGTAAATGTTGTGCAAGGTATTGATGTTAAAGTGTACCACAACTGGCATAATGTGTAGAGAGTGATAAAAAAAAAAAAAAAAAAAAGGAAAGAGGCAGGAATGTTTAATTTCTTTTACCGGTCAAATATTTTTGTCATTTATATATATATATATATATATATATATATATATATATATATATATATATATATATATATATATATACACACACACACATACACACACATATACACACATATACACACACACACACACACACATATACATATATACTCACACACACGCACATACTGTCTTACATCAGGGATATCACAGCACACATAGTATCTTGACAAAGGATTGGAGTGCCTCTCCAGAGTGCACAGTTTGCCCCCACCAAAACACAGTTGGTATCATATCACAAACAGAATCCCGAGTCTAGGATATCAATAGAGAGTATAATAAAACACTGCTCAATGGGTATAACATAGAAGATAACATAAATAAGGTATTAAGCCCTCAACCAAGAGTCCTCAAAAATACCGACCATGACCCCGAGAGCCAGGATCATCAAAGAAATAAAAGGAAAGGTAGATAACAAAAATAGAAAAGTCAGACCAAGTACTGAAGAGACAAACTCCCCCTCAGACTTCAGATTGAAATGAAGTACGTTGATTTATAGCCCAAGGTTCCCAGATATTTTCAAAAATCTTAAAACGGAGCACCACCTAAAAGGGAGAGTTCCTCTTTAAGTCTTCATCCCCCACTCACTGTTAAGGGGGATCGAGGGACAGGTAAGTGTCTCTATTTTAAAAGTCAGTAGCTATAGTTTTTGTAGCTTCTGTCTTATTTTTTTTTTTAGATTGGAGGAGCTCTGCTTTAACCACTTCCAGACCGGACACTTTTACCCCCTTCCTGACCAGGGCAATTTTCAGCTTTTAGCGCTATCACACTTTGAATGACAATTGCGCGGTCATGCAACACTGTACCCAAATGAATTTTTTACCATTTTTTTGAGACAGATAAAGCTTTATTTTGGTGGTATTTATTCACCACTGGGATTTGTATTTTTTTTTTGCTATGTAAATGAAATGTCCAAAAATTTTGAAAAAAAGTGTTTTTTTTAATAAAATTTTGCAAATAAATAATATTTCATCATAAATCTTAGCCAAAATGTATTCCGTTATCTTTTTATTTAAAAAAAAATCCAAATTAGTTTATAACCAAAAATTATAAATTTTAAACATTTTTTTTACATTTTTATTTTTTTATATTATTATTATTTTTTTTTTACATACTGTCACCCTAGCAGTACAGTGTCACCATGGTGACACTGTACTACTTGTGGGGGGTGATGAAGATTTTTTT